GCTGCTTGGCCTGCTGTGTTCATCCAGCCCTGCACCTTGTTGTCTCGGATTCTCCAGCATCTGCAGTTCCTACTATCTCTGATTCACATTTTACATGTTGTTGGGATATAAATAGAAAAAAAATGTAGAAACATAGAAAATAGGAGCAGGAGTAGGCCACTTGCTCCTTCAAGCCTGCTCTGTCATTCAACATGATCATTCAACTCAGCATCCTGTTCACTCTTTCTCCCTGTACCCTTTGATTCCTTTAGTCCTAAGAACTATATCTAACTCCTTGAAACTTGCATCATTTTGGCCTCTAACTCTTGCTATGTCATAGAATTATATAGGCTGACCTGACTCATGGTGAGGAAATTTCTCCATACCAAAGCCCTAAATGCATAACCCAAATGCTTACAGTATGACCCTGGTTCTGGACCCCCTGGTCATCAGAAACATCTTTCCTGTATTTAACCTGTGTAGTCCTGTATGAATTTTATAGGTTTCAACGAGATCCCCCTCATTCTTCTCAATTTCAATGAATATAGTCCTAACCAATCCAGTCCTAATTTGGAAAGTATGTTCTACAATTTGGACCAAACTTTTGCATCCAATTATAATTCACCTATCTGTACCTGTTTAGACAATAACATAGCTTGGGCAGGAAGCCAGCAAAATGCACTGATCAGAAGCTCAGGTGTTTCTGCAGAGTCTGGTTGATATTCAACCCTGGATTTACATTACAAGCATAAAGAGGCAGCTGGTAGGATTCTAGCTGGGGGAGATTCAATACCCAGGAAAGTTACAGTGCATTTGCTGAGGTTTTGGGCTTGGGAAATGGAAAGGCAAATTGGGAAGGACAGAGGCCTGGACATTAGTTGTGGTGCCTTTGTGTTTCTGCACCAAACCAAAAAGTTTAAACCTTGTAGCTTAGGACCTCTGTACCTTCATGGAAAGACATTACTGGGCGTGCCTCTCATTGTGCCACGAAAATGACTTTGGGCAGATATTAATCACAGGATTCCAATCTAGGTTTATTCACAACATGTCCATTTGTATCAAATAAGTGCCTTTGTCATCAAAAGAAACATAAATACTAATTCTACTGCAAGACAGGAACAGAACAATAGATACAGTTGCCCAACTTTAACTTCCAATCATTCCCCCAGCACCCCATGTCATTTCCACCTAAAGTGATAATTAAAAACAATAGATGAAATTTATTTCCCACTGCTTGCCAGAAACTATGTAGATTGAGTCAACATATATTAATGATTTTCTTTCAATATTTTCATTCATTTTCTATTTAAAGCATTTTAATTATAAGAATGTAGGAACAGGAGTTGATTAATCCAACTCTCACTTTGGTTGCATATCCCCAAGTATACTTTGTTGTGATATGTCTCATAGTCAGTATATCTATTTACCTTTTAAGAGACACGGTACGTAAGTATATCTTTGAGAGACATGATATTATCAATGCATCATAGCATGTGACCTGAGGGTGTAAAGATCTCAGACTCCATCTCAACTGGGGTCATTTGAAAGATAGCACGACTTGTAAACAAAAAGCTTAATGTTAGAGACGCTGAAGTTTCTGTGAATGTGATATTTGTATATATCAGTGAGCTGTAATGATCATCTATTGGATTTTTCAATACTCTGGGATCTGTGACTGAGTTACGAGGGATAACATAAGCATCACTGAATCATTTAAAGATACCATGCTGGATGTAAAGTGTACATCATCCTTGGCGATCAAATGTTTATAAATCTCAGATTTAAAATCATGTATAATGCATTGTGAGACCCCAAAGGAGACTTGGCAAAAAGGAACTAGAAATGAGGAAACTATAATTATTGGAGTTACCTGGCTTGGGGGAGGTCCAAGAAGTTGATAGTAGCTGCAAATGGGCCTGGGGATTATGATGTGTACTTGATCTACACCCATTCCTTGTGATGCAGCCATAAGGACATGATAAATAAAAGCAGGAGTAGACTATTTGGCCTCTTTACATTGCTCCACCAACTTCACGCTGCCCGTTAATTTGTAAAATTTCTGCATACAGCTCATGCCAAATATGTTATTGGTTACATGCATGCCTCACCAGGCACTCAAATTTGTGCCACACTTCAAGCTAACTTGCAATTCATAAGGGAACTGCATCTTATTTGCTGGAATTGTTTGCGGAGTGACTCTGAGCAGGAAGAAAAGTAAATTGTGATGCAACAGTGGAGTTGGGACACTCCCAAATGTTCCAACACTGAGACTACACTGGAGCCTTAATGGAAAAAGCAGACAGAAAGAGGGAAGTTTTCTTTCTGTAGGGCACCATTCATACAAAATTTCAGAAGACAGTGAGACAGAATATCTGTGACAGTCAATATCAGGAGTCAAGCTCTAAAGAGCTGGATGTGAGAACATAAAATACTTCAATAACTTCACAGGAGTGATCAAGGTTTGTGAATGTATTTTCAAATGCATTTCTTACAGCTACACCTCCTGCGTCTCCCACTGCTCATTGCATCAACCTGTCAGCTACAAATCTTTTCAATCACAACCCATTTTATCTTCAAAGCTTTTCCTCACTCTCACAAATCTAGGAGGCCTCATGCTCACCTCACATCTTGCATACACTGCCAGCTATTCAACACTGACAAAACCCAAACACATCACATTCACTGAAGCATTCCTCTCTCTCTTGAAGAGTCAGAAGCTTGTAATCAAGCCAGCGGAATATAAACAGATACAGCAATATGTTTGCACCTGCATGGAGGAGATGGTGCTCAACAGATCAGACCATCCATTGCTGAAGCCACTCCTAATGATAGAGTTGAATCCCTTGAGATAACTGTATTCTCACACCCCCGGTACCTTCAACCCACACTTGCTTCTGATTTGCAAACTTCAAACGGTTTGAGCATGCATTTCTTGCTTTCGCGCCCCCCCCCCCCCCACCCCCACCTTGCCTCAGTACAACCCTACCATGGGCCTTTCTCCTCTCAGATATTAAAGGACTGACACCTGATTGTGCTAGGGAAGAATAGCAACTGGTGAAAGGCCAACAAGACACTGATGATGAAGAAAAATCACCTGAATTTACGCTTGGAGTCACCAGATAAGTACTGCAAGGATAATCAAGAGTTGTCCACTGTTGAAGTTTTGCTTTAGCACATTAGTTGTCACAGAGCAGATCATTAATGTGGCAGCATGGTATTCATTCTGTACATGCTGCTTCCCGAAATGTGGGTTAAACACCAGATTTTATTGCACAGTAGCCACTTTTTACAGCGTCATGGTGGCTCAAATGCAAATGGCACAATGGATTGTTGCTGATTGAAGGCATTATGACTTCCCTCAGGAACCTGACAATTGACCAGCCTGACACTATCTTGTGGCCTCAATTTTCAATCAGGCATAGAAGGGAATTGAGATTTTTAAAATGAGGATTTTCCCAAAGTGGAAGCAGTGAGACTAACCTCTCTAAGTGGAATAATCAGTGATGATAGATCAATTTAGAATCATCAGTGAACATGAGGTGAGGAAGCATTTCTTCCTGTAAAACGGAGCTTGAAATGGTTGAAACGGAGATCACTTTCAAGGTAATGAAATAAGTACTTGAAGGAGAGGAATATAAAACCACTCTTGAGAAAGTGGAACAGTAGATAAAGGCCATTCAGATATAGTGGGCCCAACAGCCTCCTTGTGTAATGTTATATTGTTTTCTTCTGTGAAGGTGCTCTGAGGAGCTTTTGGCTTGTTCTTGGTCAAACTATACTGATAGATGGAGGGCACCATTCAGTAGTACTGCTGAAATATCAAGCAGAAAATTGGCTTTTAATAAGGTAATTCATTTGAAAACAAAAATTGGTGCTATCTTGAAGACAGAAAATATTTCTGTTCTGTAGCACCCTAGAATTTTATGAACCTCAAACGTTGGCAGCACCAACTTGATAAACAGAACCCAAAATGTTGAAAATCCACTACACTGCCTGTACACATGAATTACGAATAGTAAGGTAGAGGGAAAATCACTGTACTCTTACCAGAAGTGCTTTCAGGCTGCTCTGTCATTTAGAGAGAGATGACTGAAGTTGATTTAACCTGAGGGCTACCATGCCTCAGGCTAGGGAGCAGTTTGAGAAGGAGAGTCCTTCACAGTGATCTTAGCCAGTACGGAAATTGAACCCACACTCTTAGCGCCACTGTGTATTGCAGACCAGCCATCCACCAACTGAACCAATAGAGCTGTGCAACCACTTGAATGCAGTGGTTGTAATCTTGCAGTATCTGTGATATTTTGGAAAGGTTCCAGCAGATTGGAAAACCACAAATTCAAGATGAGGGAGACAGGAAACCTTATGCTAGTTACCTAACAGCTGTTATTAACTAAATGCTAGAATCTATGATGAAAGAGATAGTTATCAGTACACTTAGAACATCATAATAGTCAGGCAGAGTCATAGTTTTGTGAAATGAACTTTGTTCAGACAAATTTATTTGAGTTCTTTGAGAATATTAACTAGCATCAACTAATTTTGGATTTCCAAAAAGCATTTGCTAAGCTGCCACATGATACAATACTGCACAAGATATGACTTCATGGTATGGGCTGATATACTAGCATGGATAAAGGATAACTACTCCACTATAACTAGTGGACTGCTGAATGTATGAGTGCTGGACCTCAATTATTTATGATCTACAATGGTGAATTTGATGAAAGGAAACACTATATTGTAAATACATTGTTTGAATTATATAAAGTTAAGCATGAAAGAAAGTTGTGAGTAGGCTACAAAGAGTTTGCAAGGGGATATATACTCCCTATACACTCATGATTGTGTGGCCAAATTTCATCCTAACTCCATCTACAAGTTCGCTGATGATGCCAATGTTGTAGGCTGGATCTCAAAACAATGACAAATCAGAATGCTTGGTGGCATGGTGTAAAGATAGCAAACTCTCCTTCAACATCAGCAAAATGAAAGAGCTGGTCATTGACTTCAAGAAGCAAGGTGAAGGGCATACCCCTGTCTATATCAATGATGCTAAGGTGGAGATGGTCGAGAGCGTTAAGTTCCGAGGAGTGATGATCACCAATAATCTGTCCTGGTCCACCCACGTTGATGCTACAATCAAGAAAGCACAACAGCACCTCTACTTCCTCAGGAAGCTAAGGAAATTAGACATGTCTGTAAAGACTCTTACCAATTTTTACAGATGCATCATAGAAAGCATTCTATCTGGATGCATCACAGCTTGTTATGGCAACTGCTCTTCCCAGGACCATAAGAAACTAGGGAGAGTTGTGAACACAGCCCAGTCCATCATGCAAGCCAACCTTCCATCCACTGACTCCATCTATACTTCTCGCTGCCTCAGGAAGCCAGCCAACAGATTCAAAGACCTCTCCTACCCCGGTTATAATTTCTTCCAACCTCTTCCATCGGGGCAGAAGATACAAAAACATACAGACCAACAGACTCAAGAACAGCTTCTTCCATGCTGTTATCAGACTTTTGAATGGACCTCTCAAATTTTAAATTTAAATGCTGATCTTGCTCTTTGCGCACTTTCTCTGCAGCCGTAACATTGTATTCTTTGCTCTGTTCTATTATTCCAATGCACCTTGTATGGTATGATCTTCCTGTACTACACATAAAACTTTTCACTGTACCTAGGTACATGCGACAATAATAAATCAGATCAGATCAAATAATATGGGAAAATTTGACGTTGAGAGACTGCAGAATGCTAGCATACATATATTTGGGTATCTTTGTACATGAATCATAATATTTGCTTGGAGGTACAGCACATAATTAGAAAGGCAAATGGAATTTTGGCCTTTATTGTAAGTGGGATGGAGTATAAAAGTAGGAATACTAAATAAAAACTGAAAGAACTGCAGATGCTGTAAATCAGGAACAAAAACAGAAGTTTCTGGAAAAACTCAGCAGGACTGGCAACATCTGTGGAGTAAAACAAAACAGAGTTAACATTTCGGGTCTGGTGATCCTTCCTCAGAACACCTGTGTTTGTGTATAAAAGTGGGAAATCTGTCTACAGCTGTACAGGGCGTTGGTGAGGCTGCACCTGGAGTACTGCGTACTTGTTGTTTATTATAGGAAGGATAGACAATAACTTTGCACCCAAAGCAACTTACAGAAGGTTGATTAGGCTGATTCTTGGGATGAAGTAACTGTCTTATGAGGGAAGGCTGGGTAGGTTAGGCCTCTGCTCAGTAGAGTTTCTAAGACTGAGACGTGATCTTATGAAATCTGTAAAATTCCAAGGGGGCTTTGCAGGGTTGATCCTTGGAGGATATTTCCTCTTTTGGAGAAATCTAGTACTGGGGGCACAGTTTAAACACCGAAACAGACGATAGCAAAGGTAATTCAGCATTCTCATTTGACACACTGACGCTCGACTGATACTTGTAAAAAATTAAGTTTGTCATTTGTTTTCTATCAGGAGACTACACTTTGAAAATTGATCTTACTGACTGGGATGGTGCAAAACGTTATGCCCAATATAGAAGTTTCAGAGTTCAAAATGAGCAGGTGAGGAGTATTAGTTGACTGAACTAAGCAAATTTACTGTTGTATCTTTTGATCTTTGCTTTGCTACAATTCGTAATGTTGTACCAGTTTGCATGGGTGCACTTGAAACTTGCTTTTAGATTCCAAGGGGAAAAAGACCCAATCTTTTAACATCACTTGTTCCTTCTCAAAGTTTGTTATGTGATCAAAACAGAAGCCTTGTCAAAAATGTTGCAGCTTTTTTTGTGAATTTGAGGAATTCAGATATTATCCAACTAATGTGCCATTTCATGTAATGGTTAAACAGATAGCACCAACAATTTACATTCATAAAATGCTGTCAAAATTGAAAAATCCTCTTCCAATTTAATTAGCCTCCCTCCAGACCAATACTATACTCCCTCAGGGCCCAATCACAGCCCTTCTCAATCTTCTTCATCACTTACTGGAGGGATGCAGTGATCACATCTTTCATTCCTCTTAATAAGTGAGCTACCTAGGGACACTGAAGTGTCCGCAATTTTAATGTGTAAATTTAAATAGGTCCATGTCAAGTGAACTTTGAGCCTAATCTTTCAATGGCAGGGATTATTCTCCGCATCCAATTCTTGATGGCCTGTGAACCAAATGACTTTTTGGTCAGATGATCAGCTTGACAACCTGCAGCTTTGTCTGTCCTGATATAATCCTGCGATCTGCAGGCACACATTGTGCCAAAGTGCTCTTGTTGAATTCTCGTCCTTATGTTTAATCCTTGTTCTGAGAAACAGCATATCTGACAATCTAGGTCAAACTAAGAAGTTTAACTCATGGGCCAACAGTGGCACACCACAACACAGTGCTCTCACATGGCAGAAGGTATCATCCTTACTGATGGCCACTGCTTTTGAGGAGCACATTAATTTAAAACAAACCCCATTTGTACATTGTTTATTTTTCTTTCACAGAATTCATACCAGTTAAGCTTTGGTGAGTATTCTGGAACTGCAGGAGACTCACTGAGTGGTACATATCATCCAGAAGTTACATGGTGGGCCAACCACAATGGCATGAGGTTCAGCACAAAGGATAGGGATAATGACCGTTATGAGGGAAACTGTGCAAGGGAAGACAAAGCTGGATGGTGGTATAACAGGTTTGTGAAACACTAGTTATTTTTCTCACTGACTACATTGGCCTATAGTTCATACATTACTGGCATTAGTGCTAGACCACAACATGAAAGGCTTTACAGTCACTAGTTTTTAAAGGAGATAATTTCCATCCATTACACCAGAATAATTACAATTGTCCATGCCACATTCGCAGTTAATTTTGCAGGAGGCAAATACGGGAGTCACTCAAACTGAGATTTGAAAGTGTGGAGTTGAACATCTACATGCAAGCTAAACGTTCCTTCCTCCATTTTGTACTCTCACAGCAGAATGGTGTGAAAATAAAGGTAACTTCCTCCAAGAAATGATACCAGAGATATTCAACCAGGCGAAGGTGTCTGCAGTATATGAGGCACTGACACGATTTTAACTGCTACTTATTTTCTGAATTCTGCAAGTATTGAATTATTAATCATGCATGGTAAAAACACTAAATTCCTGAAAACCACTTAAAGAGCAAATTATTGATCTGTTGCAGAACATTTATTGCTGCTTGAAATAGGGCCAAGTACAATTGAATTCTTAATGCAAACAAACAGAAACAATTGTTTCAATGATCAAAGCACCATAACAATTTAAGCCATAACAGCATAAGATATAGGAGGAGAATTTTCCTGTGCAGAATTATGCCATTTAGCCCATCGATATTGCTCCACCATTTGATTGTGGCTGATATCTTTGTCAACTTCATTCTGCTGCCTTCTTCCCATTACCGTTGATCCCCTTACTAATCAAGAATCTGTCTTATCTGTCTCAAATACGCTCAATGACTTGACCTCCAAAGCCAAATGTGGCAATGAGTTCCACAGGTTAACCACCCTCTGGCTGAAGAAATTACTAATCATCTCCATTCTAAAGGGTTGTCCCTTCACTCTGAGGCCATGCCCTCGCGTCCTAGTCTCTCCAATGACCGGAAACATCTTCTCCATGTTCCAATGTTCCAATGACATACATCCTTCTCATCTTCTAAACTCCATTAAGGACAGACCCAGAGTCCTCAACCGCTCGTATTGCAAGCCCTTCATTCCTGGGATTCAATGCCAATGCACCCTTCCTTTGATATGGGCGCCCAAACTGCTCACCGCTTTCCAAATGCAGTCTGACCAGAATGCAGTTCATATCACAGAGTGCTCCATAGACTGATTGACTGCCAACAACCACGACCATCTTCCTGTGTATTAGGTATGACACTAACCACCGGAGAGTTTGCCCCCTGATACCCATTGATTCCAGTCAGGGCTCCTTGATGCTGCTTGAATGCAGTTCAAATGCAGCCTTAATATCAAGAGCTGTCACTCTCACCTCACCTCTGGAATTCAGCTCTTTTGTCCATGTTTGAACCAAGGCTGTAATGAGATCAGGAGCTGAGTGGCCCTGGTGGAACGCAACCTGGGCGTCACTGAGCAGGTTATTTCTGAGCCGGGGCTGCTTGATAGCACTGTTGATGACACCTTCCATCACTTCACTGATGCTTGAGAGTAAACTGATGGGGCAGTAATTGGCCGGGTTGGATTTGTCCTGCTGTTTATCTACAGGACATACTTGGGCAATTTTCCACTTTGTCAAGTAGATACCAGTGTTATAACTCTACTGGAACATCTTCGCTAAGGGAGTGGCAAATTCTGGAGTACAAATCTTCAGTACTATTGCCGGAATGTTGTCAGGGCCCGTAGCCTTTGCAGTATCCAGTGTCTCCAACCGTTTCTTGATATCACATGGAGTGAATCAAATTGGCTGAGGACTGGTATCTGTAATGCTGGGGACCACTGGAGGAGGCTGAGATGGATCATCCACTCGGCACCTCTGGCTGAAGATTGCTGCAAATGCTTCAGCCTTATCTTTTGCACTGATGTGCTGGGCTCTTCCATCTTTGAGGATGGGGATATTTGTGGAGCCTCCTCCTCCAATGAATTATTTAACTGTCCACCACCATTCACGACTGGATGTGGCAGGACTGCAGAGCTTAGATCTGATCCGTTGGTTGTGGGATCACTTAGCTCTGTCTATCACTTGCTGCTTTTGCTGTTTGGTGTACAAGTAGTCCTGTTTGGTGGCTTCACCAGGTTGATACCTCATCATCAGGTATGCCTAGTGCTGCTCCTGGCATGCCCTCTTGCACTCTCCATTGAACCAGGGTTGATCCCCTGGCTTGATGGTAATGGCTGAGTGGGGAATATGCTGTACCATGAGGTTACAGATTGTGCTGGAGTACAATTCTGCAGCTGTTGATGGCCCACAGTGCCTCATGGATGCCCAGTCTTGAGTTGCTAGATCTGTGTGAAGTCTGTCCCATTTAGCATGGTGATAGTACCACACAACATGATGGAGGTTATTCTGAATGTAAAGGCGGGACTTTGTCTCCACAAGGACTGTGCGATGATCACTCTTACCAATATGTCATGGCCAGATGCAACTATAGCTGGCAGATTAGTAAGGATGAGGTCTAGTATGTTTTTCCTTCTTGTTGGTTCCCTCACCAACTGCTGCAGACCAGGTCTAGCAGCTGTGTCCTTTAGAACCTGACCAGCTTGATCAGTAGTACTGTTGCCGAGCCACTCTTGGTGGTGGACATTGAAATTCCCCCACCCAGGTACATTTTGTGCCCTTGCCATCCTCAGTGCTTCCTCTAAGTGTTATTAAACATGGAGGAGTACTGATTCATCAGCTGAAGGAGGATAGTATGTGGTAATCAGCAGAAGGTTTCCTTGCCCATGTTTAACCTAAAGCCATGAGACTTCATGGAGTCCGGAGTCAATGTTGAGGGTCCTAGAGCAACACCTTCCCACCTGTATACCACTGTGCCGCCCCCTCTGCTGGGTCTGTCCTGCTGGTGGGACAGGACATATCCAGGGATGGTGATGGTGGTGTCTGGGACACTGTCTGAAAGGTATGATTCTTGAGTATGACTATGTCAGGCTGTTGTTTAACTCGTCTGTGAGACAGCTCTCCCAATTTTGGTACTAACCCAAAGATGTTGGTGAGGAGGACTTTGCAGGGTTGACAGGGCTGTTTCTGCCGTTGTCTTTTCCGGTGCCTCAGTCGATGCCGGGTGATCCATCCAGGTTCATTTCTTTAAGACTTTGTAGCGATTGGTACAACTGAGCTAGGCCATTTCAGACAGCAGTTGAGAGTCAACCACATTGCTGTGGATCTGGAATCACATGTAAACCAGACCAGGTGAAGGTGGCAGATTTCCTCCACTAAAGGACATTAGTGAACCAGATGGGTTTTTCCCGACAATCGTCAATGAATTCATGGTGATCAGTAGATTCTTAATTCCAGACTTTTTTTTGAATTCAGATTCCATTTGCCATGGTGGGATTCGAACCCGGGTCCCCAGAACATCAGCTGGGTTTCTGGTTTAATAGTCTAGCGATAATATCACTAGGCCATTGCCTAACCCCACAGATTGCAACTGACATGAACATTAGAAAACAGAAATTTGGTCAATCAGAGTTGGGACTTTTAAAGTTTTACTTCAATATTTTTAAAGCTAGATGCAGTGCACAGCTCTGTCCATTGAGGAATGAGATTCATCCATCATAAAGCAGAAGGTACTGGGAGAGCTGAAAGGTCTGAAGGTAGATAAATCACCCAGACCGGATGGACTACACTCCAAAGTTCTGAAGGAGATAGCTGACAAAATTATAGAGGCATTGGTAGTAATCTTTCAGGAATCACTAGATTCAGGGAGGGTTCTGGAGGACTGGACGTTGGCTAAAGTAACACCCCTGTTTAAGAAGACAGGGAGGCAGAAAACGGGAAATGATAGACTGATTAACTTGACTTAAGTTGTTGGGAAGATTTTAAAAATCCATTGTTAATGATGATATTGCAGAGTGCTTAGAAGTGCATGGTAAAATAAGGCTGAGTCAGCACAACTTCATCAAGGGGAAGTCACGTCTGAAAAATCTGTGAGAACTCTTTGAGGAAGTAACAAGCAAGGGAGACAAAGGAGAGCTCATGGACATGATCTGTTTGGATTTCCAGAGGGCCTTTGACAAGGAGCTACATAGAAGGCTGCTAAATAAGATAAGAACCTATAGTAATAAGGGCAAAGTACTGGCATGGATAGAGGATTGGCTGACTGGCAGAAGGCAAAGAGTAGGGACAAAGGAATTATTTTTCAGGATGGCAGCTAGTGATTAATGGAATTCTGCAGGGGTCAGTGTTGGGACCACAACTATTCATGTTATACATTAACGATCTGGACAAAGAAACTGAGGGTATTGTTGCTAAGTTTGCAAATGGCACCAAAGATAGGTAGAAGGATAGGTAGTGTTGAGGAAGCAGGGAGGCTGCAGGAGTACTTGGATGTTCTCAAATGGTGAAAGTGGAGCCGAGCTCCAAAAACTTGAAAACACTGTGGCTATATAAAATGCTGTTAATCGAAAATGGTCTTGTGGCGCCAAGTCACACCTTCCCTCCACCTGCTAAAACATTCCACTGTACTCCAACCACAGATAGAAGTAGGAAATAAAATCAGATATAATAGTAATTACACTATATTATACTATTATTATAAATTATATTATTATTATAAGCAGTAATTTATTGGCTATTAAGTTTTAAGACTGTAACATAGATAGGGTAGTATGTATTTCTTGGAAATACAGACTGTCTGCACTAGCATTTATCAGCAAAATATATTTGATCTTCAATCTTGTACTGTATTTACAGATTAAGAGAAGTTACTGTCATTAAATGCCAATTTCTTTATTATTTCAATTTGTTAAACAATTTTTAATTTTGAATTTTGCAGATGTCACTCTGCTAACCTGAATGGACACTATTACAAGAGAGGACCTTTCACTTCAAAAACAGATGATGGAATTGTTTGGTATACTTGGCATGGATGGTGGTATTCACTAAAGTCTACAGTTATGAAGATACGACCTTCTGAATTTGTACCAAGCACAGAATGAGTGTTCCTACCCTTCATGAAATTAATGTAAATGTGTATTATTGTATCGCAATCTTTTCTGTGAACAATACCTTGTTCAGTATTCCATTGTATTGCACAATTATTCCTCTGCCAGGTTCAGAATGAACATTATTTGATCAACAGATAATGTCCGTTTGTGCTTTTTCATTAGCAGCCCTTATATAATGTTTGGATTGTGTCAGAGTGAAAGTGGCTCACTACTTATGATTGTGGGGCTTCAATGCATTTTACGTTATCCTAGCAGGATGCAAACAGTATACTGTTACAATTTAACTGAAATATATTTGAAGATAAAACAGTCAGTGCCATTTAGTTATTTAATCTGGGCATGAATTTTGTCCTCAGCATTCCGGTTCAACGATTATGCTATTATGCCTTAAAGATCATGGAAACTTCTTCACATTCTGCTCCCGTGCACTTGTGTCAAATTCAAATTTCCTCAAACATCCTCACACCTATCAAAGCCACGAAAGGCTCATTTGTATAGCTGCTCTGTTCATGCACATGGAAATTTTCTGCCTCTGACTACACTTTACGTACAAGCTGCTGGGCTGAAGCGAGCCATCAACTTCAATGACTGATTGTAGGCTTTTAAGTAACTTATTCCTTTATTGAATTGAATTAAATTGAATCAGCTTTATTGTCACGTATACCCAATGAGTACAGTGAAAAGTTAACCCCTTCATTAATGTTTTATAATCAGTGACACCAGTGACAGAAGAGTTGTAGACCCCTGCTGATGGGTTTGCAGCAGCAGAAGGAACCAGGAGAATTGCCCGGGCCCCCTTCCCACCACCTATCCGCCTTATCCCCCAAATCTCTCTGTACATTTACTGGGGTTGCAAAAGATTGGATGAAACATAGTGGCCCATCCACCCTCACCCCAATTACTGGCAAACTAAAGCCAACTTCTAACCTGGCCACAATTAGGAGACCAGTGGGAGGAAGTCACAGACAGTGGTGGGGTGGAAGGCTCAGCAGATGATACTGCTCCAGCCTCAGATAGTTAAATGTGGGAGACACCATCCTCATGTCCCCATAACCACATAATGAGCATCACCCCCTTGTACCCAAACCACCGCACTGCAGGTCTGGCCTCTCTGTGTATTTGCTAGCTCCTGGCCTTTCCAACCCAATCACCAAACCACCACCCACACCCAACCCCACCTCTATCCACTGCACTTCTTCCTCACAGCATCTCTCTAGTTACCATTGCAAGATCCCCTGAACAAGATACATGAATCTGAGCACCTAGTATTTCTGTCAAGACTCTGGAGTTCCAGTTGTGGCCAACTCTCCAGGCAGAAATCCCACTCTGGCCCATAAAGTATCAAAGAGATGATCCCTTTACCACCCTACCTGAACAATTCTGCCCCTGCAGAATTTTATGATGGTGCTTTCTTCTCCTCCATGGAAAAGGTTTTCAGGCTCTGATTTATATTATACCTCACACTACTATCACAATTTGGAAGCTTCTAAGTAACTCTATCTAATTTTGTCTGTCCCATGGGTGTTTCTTAGCTCCTCTTAAATATATTCCACACATTGTTCTCCAAAATTGAGATCATCCCTGACTAATATATTGTTCCATCTCATACTATCAACTTCACCTCCTTTTCCTTCTTGTCTGTCCTTCCTTAGTATCAAGTATCCTTGAACATTCCAGGTACCAGTCCTGGTCACTATGTTGCCATGTTTATGTAATAACAATTATATTATAACAATTTACCTTTATTGTGCCTTCAGAGCATTTATCTTGTAGTGAATGATGTGTGCATTCAGGTAGAGTGCCTTTTTGACATCACTCTGCATTTGACACAGACTCCACACTCAACATTGTTTCTCCTGTCTTCTAGTCACCCTCAGCTTGAGTTTGGGTTACCTCACAGGTTCCCATCCCCCTGACAAGCTTGTACAAGGCAACCCCAACAACACTAGCAAATCCTCCTGTGAGGATATCAATTCCAGTCCTATTAAGACGTAATTCATCCAGCCCGTCCAGCTCCTGCTCCTAAATCAGGTGCCCTTCTTCATACACCAATTCACCAGACACATTTAATTCATCAATCTTCTGTTCTTATGCTCAATAACGTGACATTGGGAGTAATCCTGAGAGATTACTGGTCTTTGTGTGCTTCTTTTTAACTTCCTTCCTAACTCCCTGAATTCTGCTTTCAGGACATCAACCCTCTTCCTACTTATGCAGTTGGTGCCAAGGGTGGATCAAAACTTCTGGCTGATCCCCCTCTTCTAGAGGTTGTGTCAAAGGTGAAGTCACAGTTCATGTCACAGAAATGAATGTCTGATCTCCTGACTATGAAATCCTCTATCACTATTGCACTTTCAATTCTTCCTTCTCCTTCCTATACAACCGAGACTCTCTTAGTTCCACAGACTTGTCTCTAGCTGCACTCGCCTAAGGAGCCATCTCCTTCACTAGTTTCCAAAATGGAATACTGATTGGCAAGCACAAGAGACTCAAGGGACTCCTGTATTACCTCCCTCCTTTCCTCAGGTTGGCTGGTAGTAGCCGTTTCCTATCTACCTGTATGATTCTAATCTGTGGTGTAACTATCTCCCCCTTATATGTGCTATCCAAGTACTCCTCTGCATCACAGACACACATCAGTATCTTCAGCTGCTGCTCAAGTTCAGACACCAAGTGCTCAAGGTTGTGCAAGTGGTGACATTTCCTGCAGATGTGTTTGTCTAGGACATCGTATATGTCCACGACTTCACACTTACCACAGGAACTACATTTCACTTTTCCTCACCGACTTAACATCCTGTAACTCTAAAATCTATTTGTTACCCTTACGAAAGTATAACCTTGCTAATTTAATAAAGTAAAACCAAAGCAAATAAAGTTATTTTCTTTTCTTTTGACTTGATTTATTTTGACTTTCCTTTTACCAGTATTCCTTCCTGAAACCCTATTCTTTATAAATGATACATTTTTCTTAGATTTTAGTTATTTAGACTACTCCTTAAGAGTAATTTCCCAACATCCAATAAACTTAGATTTCCTGTGACAGCAATCTTGTTTTTTTCCACACTCGGTCTCTCTTGGTACCATGTTCAGAACAAAGCCACTCCCTGCTCTCCGTTCGCTTTTTAAATTTGCTGCCACTTCTCTCAGTATCATGCTCAGAATCAAGTTGCTCCTTGTGCTCTTTTTAAATTTGCCGCCTCCTGTCTTGCTGCTGTGTTCAGAATTGAAGGAAATCTACACCACAGAACCAACCACTGAGCAGGGGAGAGTTATGATCCTGACAGGACTTTTCCCAATCTATCTACCCATTCCTACTCTCTTACATGACAATGTCAGAGACCGACTCTTGGCTGCCCTCTGAAATGACCTAGCAAGCCACTTAGTTGTATCAATTGCTACAAAGACTCAAGAAAGAAATGAAACTGCTGTGTGATCCATTCATCAATCTAGGCACAGGAAAAGACAACAGCAGAGACAGCCCTGTCAACCCTGCAAAGTCCTCCTCACTAACATCTGGGGGCTAGTGCCAAAATTGGGAGAGCTGTCTCACAACAGCCTTATATAGTCATACTCACGGAATCATACCGGACAGACAATGTCCCAGACACCACTATGACCATCCTTGGATATGTCCTGTCCCACCGGCAGGACAGACCCGGTAGATGTGGCAGCACAGTGGTATACAGTCAGGAAGGAGTTGCCCTGGGAGTTTTTAACATGGGATCTAGATTCCATGAAGTCTCATGGCTTCAGGTTAACCTCCTGCTTATTACCATGTACCATCCTCCCTCCGCTGTTAAATTGGTACTCCTCCATGTTGAACAACACTTGGAGAAAGCACTAAGGATGGCAAGGGCAAAAAATATACTCTGGTAGGGGGATTCCAATGTCCACCACCAAAAGTCGCTCAGCAGCAGTACTACTGATTGAGCTGGTCCGGTCCTAAAGGACATAGCTGCTAGAGTGATTCTGCGGCGGACAGTGAGGGAACCAACAAGAAGGAAAAATATACTTGACCTCATCCTTACCAATCTGCCTACAGCAGATGTATCTGTCCAAGACAGTATCGGTAAAAATGACCATCACACCATCCTTGTGGAGACGAAGTCCTGCCTTTACATTCAGAATAACCTCCATCGTGTTGTGTGGCACTATCACTGTGCTAAATGGGACAGACTTCGCACAGATGGGGCAACTTGAAAGATTGGACATCCATGGGGCGCTGTGAGCCATCAACAGCAGCAGAATTGTCTGTCAGCACAATCTGTAACGTCATGGCCTGGAATATCCCACACTCATCCATTACAAACAAGCCAGGAGATCAACCCTTGTTCAATGGACAGTGTAGAAAGGCATGCCAGGAGCAGCACCAGGCATATCCAAAAATGAGGTGTCAAGGTAGTGAATCTGCCAAACAGGACTACTTGCATAAGAAACAGCATAAGCAGCAAAAGCTAGATAGAGTTAAGTGATCCCACAACCAACACATCATATTTAAACTCTGCAGTCCTGCCAAATCCAGATATGAATGGTTGTGGAAAATTGAACAACTCACTGGAAGAGAAGACAGCCCAGATATCCCCATGGAAGAGCCCAGCACTTCAGTGCAAAAGATAAGGGTGAAGAATTCGCAACAATCCTCAGCCAGAAGTGCCAAGTGGATGATCCATTTCAGCCTCCTCCAGTGGTCTCCAACATTACAGACATCGGTCTTCAGTGTATCGGTCTTCACAGTGGAGGACACTAATAACATGCCAGTAATAG